AAAAACACCGCTAGCCCTCTCCCCTCTCCCCTGAGGGGCCATTCAGTGACCTGGGGCTGCAGCCTGGGTCAACATTTATGAATGAGGGGTGCCTGGGTGGCTCAGATACTTAAACGTCCAGCTTGGGCTCAGGTCATGATCTCGCAGTGCGTGGGTTCGAGCCCCGCCTCGGGCTCTGTCTGTCTCTCTCAAAAATAAACATTAAAAAATTAAAATAAAAACCATTTATGAATGGATAAAGAATACATAGAGCGTGCACACACACACACGCACGCGCGCACACACCACACACACACACACACACACACACACACACAGAGGAATATTACTCAGCCATAAAAAAGAATGAAATCTTACCATTTGCAGTGACATGGATGAAAGGAACTAGACAGTATTTTGCAAAACAAAATAAGTGAGTCAGAGAAAGAGAAATACCATATGATTTCACTCATATGCGGAATTTAACAAACAAAGCAAGCCAGCAAAGGGAAAAAAAGAGAGAGAGAGTCAAAACCAGAAACAGAGTCTTAACTACAGAGAATGCACTGATGGCTACCAGAGGGGAGGGCTGAGGGGGAGACGGGCGACGGGAAGGCAGGAGTGCACTTGCTGTGAGGAGTGCGGGGTGATGTCCAGACGTGTCGAATCACTAAGTTATGCACCTGAAACTAATAGGACACTGTGTGTTAACTATACTCAACTTTAAATTAAAAAAACCTTAAAGAAAAACCCGAGGGAACCACAGTCCTATGCATCCCCACTGAGAAACAACTTGGACCCCTCTCCCCTTGTTCAGAGGGGAAAGTGAGATGCAGGATGAGGAAGGGACCCTCCCAGGCGTGTCCCAGAGAACTAGCACCCCAGCTTGCTGGGCTCAGAGTGGCCACGAGGCCAGTGGGCCAAGGACGGGGCCGAGTCCGCTTTCGCAACACCTTCTCTGTCTCCCCCAAGCCTGGCCTCATTGTCACGTTTTGGCCACGTACAAACCTCCAAGCCAGTGACCTCTTTTCTGAGGCCCGGTTTCTCATCTGTGGGGACAACGGTGTCAGCGCGGTGTCTGGCATCCAGCAGGGGTGGAAAGGGACTCACTGGCCCCTGGCTCGGGGGGACACCGGTCTCTCAGTTTGTGGCTCTGCCGGGAGAAAGGGGCGGAACTTGTGTCCTGGGCCTCAGGAGCGTTTTCTCGGTCTCTCCCTCAGCCTGGCCCGGGGGCCGCTGGCCCTGGTGCAGAAGCACGTCAGAGCCGTCCTGCGGAACAAGGTAAAGACCCCACCCCCACATCTCCGGGGAGGGGGCCCTTGCTCACCTCTGGAGGCGCGGTGCCTCATGGGGCGTTGCAGGCATGGGGGAGATGGGGACCGTTAGCGCCTTTCCTAAACTAGAAGGCCCTTGATGGGACTCCTCCGATTTTCCCAGGAGGGCAGGAAAAAGGCTGAGGGGACGGTCCAGGGCAGTGACAGGGCGGACGAAACAAAGGGGGGCTTGGGGGCCGCGGGGAAGGGAGGCCCCTGCTCCCGGGCCAGCCCCAGTTCCACGCCCGAGGGTCGGGACGGGGCCAAGGGGCTTATGAAAAAGAGACAAAGGGAAAGTGGACAACAGCATGGGCACTGGAGCCAGGTGTGGCCTGGGCTTGAATCCTGGCCCCCTCCTTCCCGGCTGTGACACTCGGACAAGTCGCTGCACCTCCCTCTGCCCCCAATTCCACATGCACCGCGCAGAGAGTTGAGCCCATTAACATCCGTGAAGAGCTTACAACAGTGTTGGCAGAGAATTTGGCTGTGATTCCTGTTGCTATTTCCACCCTTGTCATTAGTGGCTTGTGGCTGACTTGGTGACAGACAGGTGCCCCTGGAGCTAGGGTCACACTGACAAGGGGGGGGTGCTTCTCCATCTCTGTCCCTACCCACACACCATCTTCTGATTTGGTCCCTGCAACCCCAAGTCAACCCACTCGGTGCCATCCCACACCCACCAGGCGTGGGCCCCAGTGTTGCCATCTTGCAGACGGGAAGACTGAGGCCCAAGGGCTGAAGGCAGTACAGCCTGACCTGGCCCTCTCCTCTGCCACCGGCCTCCCCTGGCCCAGCCCCACCAGCTTTGCCTGGCCCGGGCTGTGACTCCCCTTGGCCTTGCGGGTGGTCTCTCCTTGCCCCACCTTCTATCACACTGACCCCAGCTTAATATACTTCTCGGGCCGCCCACTGCGCCCAGAACTCCAGTCTTGCTCGCTGACCACCGCCTGCCTTCACCGCGTGCAGCGCCCTTCCCCCAGCAGGCCCTCTGGGCCCCAGTGCAGCGGGCTCCCTGCCTCAACTGTCCTGGCCCAGCTGTGGTCCCCTCTACTGTGTCCCACTGTCCCCGTTCTTTCCTCGACGCCCATGAGCCCAGCTTCTCTGAGTCCTCAGGGCCCAAGAGAGATGCAAGAGGCCCACTGGGTGGAAGGAAGGGACTCCAGGCCTTGGTGTGTGGGCCCGGGGAGGCTTCCAGACTGGGACCCTAGACCCGCCTGGCCTCACCCCTCCAGCCTGATCAGCCTCCGCCTCTGTCTTGCCACAGCTGTGCCTGAGCATCTCCAACCTGGTGCAGGGCCTCAATGTCCACCTGGGCACTTTAATTGGTAAGGACTGGGGCCCGGGGGGAGGGTGCTGGGACAGTGTGGGTCAAATATCCGGACCTTGATGAATGTGAGCTCCGTTCTTCTCCTGTGGTTCCTTCTTGCTTTCTTCAGGGCGTATGTGTGCACAGAGTGACCCTTCCCCTTCCTTCTAATTTGGTGTCTCTAGTCTTCCACTGATTAGGAAAGCGAGACACCCAAACTGCTAGAATCATGTCTACGCTAACGGTCCACAGGTTGCTAGTGGCTGAATCTTGGGTGCGTGTGTTTTGTGACCTAAGTTTGCCTCCTCAGAGGCCTTCTTTCTTACCTCCTCTGCTTCCAGGCCTGGGTGTGGCTGGCCAAGGTCAGATAGTTGAGGTTTCTGGATAGAGGAGGCGTTGGGAGGTAAGGCTAAGGATGCCATCTTTTCTCCTTCATTCTGCTTTTGTGTAGGCCTCAACCCTGTGGGTCCAGAGTCCCAGATCCGCTACGCCATGGTCAACGTGCCCAAGGTCACGAAGGACTACATCTCCTTGGATATCAACGTAAGTGTCGCCTTGTCAGCCCAGGGCCCTTGGGCTTGTTGCTTCTGGGGTCTTTGGACTAAAGGAGCAGGGGTGTTGGAGGGAGGGGAGCTGGAATGGCATCCCAGGCGGGGGTAGGGCACGCAGGCAAAGGTGTGAGGCTGGATGACATGCGGCATACGGGTGGGTGACATCTCAGAGCCCAGGGATCTGTGACGGAGTCGCCTCCCTCCTGAGGCCCCGCTGCTTTTCTCCCTCTCACCACCCCCCAACCCCACAGGCCGTTCTCTTCCTGCTGGGCAAGCCCATTGTCCTGCCCGTGGATGCCACCCCCTTCGTGCTGCCGCTGCACGTGGGCACCGACGGAGCCATGGCAGCCGTGGGCCTCTCCCAGGACCTGTTTGACTCTGTCCTCCTGCTGATGCAGAAGGCTGGGGCCCTCAACCTGGACATCACAGGGCAGCTGGTGAGGCTTGGACCTGCCACCCGGGGCACGTGGGACATGCGTGTCTTGGGGCCCAGCCTGGGGAGACCCCGCAGAGGTCAAATCGTGGGGAGAGACGCAGCTCAAGATCTGGGGCCACGGGTGGGCTGTTGGAAAGGCTGAACGGGGGTCATGGGGAGGCAGAAGCTGGTGTAGCTCGGGGGGCAGCTGCCCTAAGGCCCATTGTGATGTGGGGGCTCATTTCAGGAGTCGGACGACAATCTCCTGAACACATCCGTGCTGGGCCGGCTCATCCCTGAGGTTGGTGACAGTTCTGGTCATTTCAGGGGCCGAGACCCAGCTGGGACGGGGAAGGGAGGGTCTCGGCTGGCTGGTATCTGTCCCGCAGGGGCTTCAGCGTCTGTCGTTGTATCCTCCATCTGAAGACCCTCCCCCCTTCTGCCTGACAGTCTGCTGTTCACCGCCCCCCTATGCCTCTGTCCAGGTGCTGCCTCTACCCAGAGGGCCTTTTCTGCTTCCTTTTTTCTTGTTTGTCTTCAAGACCAAGCTCGGGGTTGCCTCCTAGGGCAGGGCCCAACCCCTAGCCCCGTCCAGGAGCCTTCTCAAGCTCCCTTGGCCCCTGAGCTCCCATTCTTCCTGGCACAGATCACAAGGCTACCGCCCCCTTCAGGCGGGACATCGCCAAGGGCAGGGGCCTGTGGCCCAGTCATGTCTGAGCAGCGCCTGAGGAGTGATGAGTGCAGAGACCACCCAGCCTTTGCCCCTAGGTGCCCTCCTCTCTCTCTCCCTCCCTGCCTCCCCAGGTGGCCCGCAGGTTCCCCAAGCCCATGCCGGTGGCGCTCAAGGTGCAGCTGGGTGCCACGCCCGTGGTCATACTTCACACCCACAATGCCACGCTTCAGCTGCAGCCCTTCGTGGAGGTCCTGGCTGTGGCTTCCAACTCGGCTTTCCAGTCCCTCTTCTCCTTTGATATGGTGAGTCAGGTGGGCTGGTGGGGCTGGCTGGAGGGTGGCGACACCCCACATCCCACTTCCTGCCCCACTTTCCTCACTTGCTCTGCTCTGTTCACACTGGTGTCCTTGCTGTTCTTTCGCTATGCCATGACATTCCTGCCACAGGACCTTTGCACGTGCTGCCTCCCACCCCCCACCCCCCTGTGCCCAGGACACTCTTCTCCTAGCTCTTGGCATGGCTGGCTTCTCATCTTTCAGGTCTCAGCTTAAATGTTGCAACCTTCTTCTTGGACCACCCTGAGAAAGATGGTCCCCGTCAGCCCTCTCCATGCTACCACACTCTGCCTTCATGGCACCTGACACTCTCTGCAAGGATCTCATCTGGTTACTTTGGTTATTGTTCACCTGCTCCCCTGGCCTGTGAGGGTTCCCCAGAGCAGAGACCTGGTCTGTCTCATTTATGCTGTGTTTGCTCCCAGTGCTCTGTACGGGGCCCGGCACATCGGGTGCTCCACAAACACCCAAATCTGTCAGGGGCTGGGTGGCAGCTGGTGGCCAGCTGAAGGCTCCCTTGTGGCTCTGCACTCTTTGACCTCGCTCTCCCTTCGTGCCCAGGTTGTGAACCTGAGCCTCCAGCTCTCTGTGTCCAAGGTGAAGCTTCGGGGAACCACATCTGTGCTGGGGTAAGAAAGGCCTCTTGGAGCCAGCGGCCTCAGTGTGTTCCTCTGGGGAATGGGCCTGCAGCCCCTTATCACAGTGTCCATCAGAGGATCCTGGGATGCAGCATGTGTGGTATGGGCGGGGGGGACTAGGCCCCAGCACTAAGCCTCCTGCTTCTCTTCCAGGGACATCCAGCTCACCGTGGCCTCTTCCAATGTGGGCTTCATTGATGTGAGTGTGGGGCTGGGATGTCCAGACACCCCCTCAGTGGGTGGGGCAGGCCTTGAACTGTGTGCCCGCACACGAGTGCCCCTGTATGAACCACCACGATTGAGCTTCCTCCTAGGGCACTTGGGGATAGTAGCCAGTCTCTCTCCCAGGCTGCCTGTTGGCTGGTCAGGCGGTCAGCAACCTCAGTTCTTCAGTGGGGTCCGTCAGTGAGCTGCCTGTCACTGCTGGTGGCCAATGACTGGTCAGGCCAAGAATCACTGAGTCTACTGGTAAATCAGACAAGCCAGCATTGGACAGTGTTGGCTGCCCCCTCAGCCACATGCCATGGCTGGGCCATTGGCCACCATGTGGTCCTTTGTGGGCTGGCCTGTCAGTCAATACGGCACATCAGTCTGTCCACCATCAGTCCATCCGTCCATTGGTCAGCACCAAGAAGGCGGCCAGTCTCCTGGCATCAGGCAGCCTGCCCACCACCTGCTGGGCACACAGTGTCAGTCAGTCAGGTGCTGGTCTGTCTCCTCCCCGGAGGGCAGTTCCGGGGGCCCAGACGCTGACAGCTGACCTGACCCCAGGGGTCGCTGGGCTCTGCTTGAAGGCAGGACGGGGGTGACCTGCCTTCCTCCCTCCACCCGTGCCTCTGCTATTTGTGTGCCTGTCTGTGTCTGGCGTGTTCACGTGTGGCCCCTCTGCCCGTCTCTCTCGGCCCCTCACTGGAGCGGGCCCGCGGCCCCCCATCTCCCTGACTGCAGACAAATCAAGTGCACCCACTCATGGACGCCGTGTTCAAGAGGCCGCTGCTGGATCACCTCAACGGTGAGCCCCGCCCTCCACACCAGTTGGCCCTACGGTCCCCTGCTGGCCCTCCTCCGCTCTAGGCTCCCTCCCCCCCCACCTAGCCCCAGGGCTCAGAGGTTAAGAGGGGGGGGGTTCAAGTTTTCTTTTTTTTACTTCCCGAAGCCTCAATTGTCCCTTCTGTAAAATGAATATAATAATAATGGTGCCTGCTCCCCGGCTGTCTGTGGGGCTCAGTGTCACCAGGCACGTGAGGACTTCAGCATGGGCCCGGCTCCTGGTGGCGCTCCGCTGGGGCCTCCTGACTGAACTTAGTTGCTCCTTCCCCTCCTGCAGCTCTCCTGGGCATGGGGGTCGCCCTCCCCAACGTGGTCAACCTCCACTACGCCAACCCTGAGGTCTTTGTCTACGAGGTGAGCCTTTGTGTGTGGCGCACGGGCTTCCTCCACCCTCGGACGAAGGCTGGGCTCAGCGAGGCCCCACTCTCCCTTCCCGCTATACAAACAGTGAGGTCTCCGGGTTGGCCATGCCTGAGGGTGTCCCCCTCAGGGGGACATTCCTGCCAAGACCGTGCCATGAATCCTTGGCTGTAATGAGATGGAAAATTTAGGACGTTTAGAGACATTGGTGCAAGGGTCCTCATCAAATATGCCGGGCCACTTTCGGGGGATTCAGTCATCCCACGATCTATGCCCTGGGCTGGGGGCACAGCCCCTTTGGTGTCTGGGGGAGATGACACACAGGCTTCTTCCAGCTTTATACACATATCTCTATAGGCTGGATGGGGAAGGGGGCTTCCAGACCCTTCTAAAACCACTTGCCCTTATGCGAAATTGGTGGGGCCAGGGTGAAATTCAATCTCCACTGCCCAGGGTGAGACCCTACAACTTCTTTCCGTGTCACCTGGGATATAAATGATAATATTTTTTCTATTCATTCAACAAGACATATGAAGGACAGAAAGCTTAGCCGAGGCCCCTGAAGCCCAGCATCTGCACGTGTTGTTCACATCCTCTGAGTGGGACCCAGGGATGTTTTTCCAGGGATGATGCCCGTGTCACTTTAGAACTATGGTCCCAAGGCACGTGGGTGATCCACTCCCCCGCTCCCCAAAAAGGAACAATTAGCACATATTGGAACCTGGGCCATTAGTGAAAATTTCCTGGAGACTCTCCCAAGCAGGCAGGGTCAGTGACTGACCCGTCCACTGTGGTACTCACAGATCTAGCCAACTGGGTCCAAAGTCAAAGGTCCCTAGCCCAGCCCTGTCCAAAATGATGTTCTGTGAGGATGGATATCTGCACAGTCCAACACGGTGGCCGCTATCAGCCCCTGGGCATGTGTGGCTGTTGGGCACTTGAAATGTGGCCAGTACAGCTGAGAAGCTGGATTGTAAATTTTATTTAATCTTAATTGGGTTTAATTTAACAATGGCTACTGCCTCGGACCGTGTATGACCTACGCGTGGGAAGGGCCTGGGTCTGCTTGTCTCCAGCACGTGTAACAGGACGCGGCTTATAGCAGAGGCTCAGTGAAGATTTGTTGAATGAGCAGATGATGCTCAGCAGGCCCTGGGCACGTTTCCGCAGGGCAGGGCAGAGAGAGAGGATATAGGGAAGGTGCTTGGTGCTCCTGGGGAGCCCTGGACGTGGAGAATATGCTCAGTGGTTTGGGCTCCCAGTCCTGACACAGCGCTGGTCCCAACGGCGTCCATAAGCCCGCACTGAGCCCCGGCCCCGTGCTGGGGGCTCTGCCCACGTGCCTCCTCATCCTAGGCCTGCAGGGTGGGTGCTGTTACCACTCCCAAGTGACAGCAGGAGGCTGAGTCCCAGAGAGGCGACTCAGGAGGCCTGCAGCCAGAGTGGCAGAGCATGAGCTCAAAGCCAGGCTGATGGGGCGGCTGGAGGTGTTCCTGGTCCTCGTGTGGCCCCCGACCTGGCCCGTGGTTCTCCTTGCCCTCCAGGGCTACGTCGTGATATCCAGCGGACTCTTCTACCAGCGCTGAGGTGGGACCACCAGGGCAGCCGAGAGGGGGCCAGCTCCCTGCCTGGGAAACTGAGGCAAAGCCACATTTAACCATCACTGTCAAGCTGGATGATCCAGCCGGGCTGTTTAATCTCCACTGGGTGCCTGAGCTCCCCTCCCTCCTTCCCTCCCTCCCTCCCCTTTCCCCCCCGGCCCGCCTCTGTCCCTGTGAGCCCCAGACCGCTCCTCCAGGCTGTACAGACCTGTCCCCTCTCGCATTAAACATTTTCTCGTGAGCTGCAACCTCCATCCAGACCCAGTGAGCTCTGCGCAAATCCGAGGCCAGCTGCCTACGTCCAGTTCTTGGGTCCTGTTTGTTCCCAGGGCCACCAAAGCCACCTGGCAGAAGAAGAGGGTGTGGCCACGTCTCTGTTGACCATATCTGTTGACTCCCTCACCTCCTTGCCCCGGGAAGCTCATGCTTTGCAAGGGGACCCTGGAGAGCGGCACGGATGGCTGGCAGTTACCAATGTCATGGTGGCACCATGGGCACTCTGTCCTCAGCTGGTGGCATTTCCCCTCTACAGTGTCACATCCCATCTTGTTCCTAGCACCTCAGAGGAGCCTCATGAGTCAGACAGGCAGGCTGTGGGGTTCCATTTGGCAGATGTGGGGACTGAGGCCCGGCGAGGAGAGGAACATGCCAAGTCTCCGAGTGGGACGGTGGCAGACTCCTGGGATGGCGCCCTTCCAGGACTCCAGGAATAAAAGGTCCAGTGCCCTCTCCCATCACCAGCACCCCATCCGGGGTGTCCTTGGCTCACAAGCCTCAGGTGACAGGGAGCACACTGCTTTCTTGGGCCACGTCTCTGTCTTTGGCTTTACCAGGACACAGGCAAGTGTCTGTTGGAAGGAGAGGATCTCTCTCCAGGGCCTGTGGCCTCAAGTGTGTCTAAGTCCTTTCCCTCTGAAAGCTCTTCAGACCCAGCGGCTCACACACGACAACATGGCCTAGGGAGGACCAAGGGACGCGAACCCTGGCGGGCCAAAGCCACGTGATTTTCTTTCCTTGATAAGCTAAGCTCTTAGCCAGACAGAGTGTTCCTTCCTGCTGAGATATACAAGATTCACATTCTGTTTATGTTTCTCTGGGGCTAAAAGGCCTGAATTCCCACCATCAGTAAACAAGACCTTTGGTAGAGTGTGACTCTAACTGGTCCCCTCCAAGGGTTACAGGTTCACCCCAAAGTCTCATGTGACAGGAGGGGCCTGGAGCGAGCCCAGGATCTGGGTGGTGGGGAGGGGTGTGGGCCCCCGCGCTGAGAGAGGGAAGGGCCCGACCCTAACATCCAACTTCGCGATTGTGCTCTGGACAGCACGGCTTTTATTTCATTTGCTTGTTTAGTGAGTTCATTCATTAATCCTACTTTTATTGGGACTTAAAATAGGCTCAGCCCAAGGCTAGGTGATTTGGAATATGAGAAAGGCAAAAATTTTAAGAAAACAGACTCAACCAGGAGAGAAAGTTAATAGCTTAGAAAAAGATTGTAAGCTCCGTGTACAGGGTCCGTCTATTAAGTGACAAGTCCAATGATCCAACCACCCTCCCTTCCTTCCATCCATGCATCTGTCCATCCACATATCTACCCATTTATCCAATTAGCTCTCTCAGCCAGATAGGACTCTGTTTGTACCCATGATGTGCCTGGTTCTACAATAGAAGTCCCTTCTAGAGGTGGGGATGAGCACTGGGGAGGCGGGGCTCTTACTCCGGCACGTGGCTGGGCTGCGTGCAGACTTATGCAGGTACTTACAGAGGGAGTCTGGGCCCTGTGAGTGCAAGAGGCTTTCAGCGTGGATGCACTAGAGAGGTGGCGGGGGGGGGGGGGGGGGGGGGAGGTGAGGGCTCTGGCATGTTTGGAAAGGGCTGTGGAAAGCCTGTCCCAGACTGAGGCTGCAGGGTGGCAGAGGGGTCGCATTCTGAGCCATTGTTGGACGGCCTCACAGCCACATGATTGCAGAAGCCCCTTCCTCTTGCACGCCCCTCCTGTGCCCATGGCTGAGGGCACACTCACTCTAAAGGGGAGATGCCCAAACAAATCTGAGTGTTTTTGGATGCATGCAGAGCCAAGGGGCAGCCGCTGCTGACATGTGGGGCAGAGAAGGTGAGCCCACGCCCTCCCAGTTCTGGTCCGGCTCCTCAGAAGCTGCATCCCCCCGCCCCCACCCCCTACTCACCTTGCACACCCTTTCTCTCTGACCTGTTGCCCTCGCTCTTTCTCCCCCTGGGACACCTTGACCTGAACTGGTTTGCCCCTGTCTACCAGCTCAAATGCAGTCTTCTTCGGTCACACCCAAGCCCCTCCACCCTGCTGACTCTGATGTCCTTCAATTCCAGACCACTGTCGTTGGTGTCTGTGGCTTCCCTCACAGAGTCCAGCACACGGCAGGTACATATAAATGTGTGGTTAGTGAGCTGCTGACGCTTGCATATGCTTGGCCCGGGCTTGCTACAGCCCCCGACCCCAGGAAGCTGCGTGAAGACCAGTCCCCATAGGCAAGTGGGGAGTCACCTTTGTTGTGTCCCCAAAGCAAGTGCAGGGAAGAGGAAAGGTGGCATGGAGCTTCAGGACCAGCCTGGTCTTCCGTGTCAGAGAGGTGTGGGGGCGGGGGGGCAGGGAATGGTCAGGAGGGTTCCCTGGAGGAAGCAGCCACAGCTGGTCCCGGGGGATGGCTGAATTTGGAGCAATGGGGCAGGTGTTATAGGGGACCAGGCAGGGGGATCCTGGGGTGTGCAGAAGGGAGGTCAGGCGGGCAGGTGTGCCTTGGCAAGTCTTGGCCTGGGATCTGGGGTCCCTTGGATCCAGATTCAACTCCTGATTGTGCCATCACTTGCTGTATGACCTTGAGCCTCAGTTTCTCCACCTGTAAAATGGAGGAAATTGCCAAAGTGCTCGTCTCATAGGGCGGTCCTAAGGTTTAAATGCTCTAGTGCAGATCAAACACTAAGCACGATGCTTGGTGCAGGTCACGGGCACAGTAAATGGCCCTCTTATTGCTTTTATTATGGGCAGAATGAAAGCTGAGTCAGAGGGGTTTTGAGAGGTCCAGCCACAAGCTTACTGGACCAGTCTTCCCCTGGGGACCCTGAAGCCACGCGGCTACCCAGTGGCCCAGGAAAGACTCTGTGTTTCCCTACAATAATTTTAGTTTTAGGGAATTTACCTCCTACCTACCCATTGGAACTTGGTTAGGACCAATGTACTTTGAATTTAGGGGAACAGGGGATGACATGAAGGTCCTTTTCCCTCTCAGAAAGCTTCCTGTTATTCTCATACATTATAAAGAGGGTAAGACAGCAGCCAAGGCCACACTGTGAGGACAGTGGCTGGGGCTGGGGCCCAGATCACTGGAACTATGCACGGGGTTTCTCTGGCCTTCCTGCTCTCCTCACAGTGCCTGGGATGGCCCTGGGAGGGGGGGAAGCCAGGTGACCTGAGGCACATGGGGGTGGATTTGCACTGAGTGTGTTGGGGGGTGGAGGTGAGGCTTGTCTGTCCCTCCGTCTGTCAGGGGCGGGTCAGCAGGGATAAAATGATGCTATCTGTAGACTGGCTCCTCAGCTCAGGGCTCAGATCAGGATGAAGCCTGGCTGGGCCAATCCAAGCCCTTCTCTCCTCCTGTCCTGACCTGGCTTCTGTCCCACTGACCTCAGGCAGGCCTTGGCCCTCTGGCCTCAGTGGCCCCATGCGCACATCAGGCTCAGCAACGTCCTCCAACATTCAGACCCATGAGCTCCCTGTGGGGCAGACGAGGAAAACCTCTGGCCTCCAGCAGCCCCCCGGGACTTCCTAGCACTCTCGAGGTGCCCCCAGCCCGGCCCCCTGAGGGCCCCGTGGAAAGCACACCAGAGGCGGGACACCCAAGGCCTGGGTCCCGGCCCCAGCTCTGTGGCCAGCCTGCGTGTGGCCCGGGATGACTCTGCCTTCATTGTCCTCTGGGTTTGGACCTAGAGAGAAGCTCACCTGGTTATTTACCAGCTCCTGGCTTCCTCCGGGAGGTTCCCTCTGATGGCACCCCCTGGTTCATTAGCTCCTGGTGGCCCCTGGGAGTCTCAGATGGTCCAGGCAATGCCAATCAGGCCTGAGACACCTGTCCACTGCCTTGCAGAGCTGCCTTGGCTCCGATGCAGCATCAGCTCCTCGGGCATTAGCTCCGACACCCTCTGCTCCAGGAATCTGGCTCTAGTGTCAACTCCTTTCTTCCCTTTCTACCTCCCCCCACCCATCCTCCCCCCCCCCCGTTCAGCGGTTTCCAGCACCCCTACCTCCCCAGGAATGACCTGGTTCTGTAATTGTTGATTTGTCACATGCCCATTCCCCGCTGTAGGCTACAGGAGGAGCCCCAACACCTTTGTTCACTGCAGCGCCCCCTCGTGCCCCATGCAGGCCTGGCACACAGTAGGTTCTCAATGTTTGTGGAGGAAACAGACAAGTGCCCACTATGTGTCTGGCCTGGTGGGAGGTGCCAAGTCCAGAGGAGGGGGCAGTGTGAGCCCTGCTGCCCACTCCAGCAACCGCGTCCCCCACCCAGCGCCCACCGTCATGCAGCTGCCCAGGCTCGCCCCCGCTCTCCTCCTCTGGGCTATTTACATTGGAACAGACTGAAGATCACGTGAACATCGGGGCTCTGTTCTTCAGACCTTTAGATAATTATCTGGGCCTTATTAAGCCCTTAATGATCCAAACAGCTGATCAGGCTCCTGAATATAAGGACTTTCTCGTCCCAGGGTCAGGAGGCAGAGGTTGGTCATCTGCAGAATATCCTTGGGCTCAGCAAGGTAAGGACAGGCCCCACCTGTGGAACTTTTCCCGGAGAATGTCTTTTACAGATGAGAACACTGGGGCCCAGAGAGGGGAAGGGACTTGGCCTGAGATCACACAGCAAAGGCTTGGACCTACATCCTGACTGCTTCCCGGTACTCCCCACCTAACAGGAAGCCACTGGACAGTGAAATCTTCAGGCAAGATCAAGGAGGCAGAAGAGCTGAGGGGCCTCCTTGGGAAGACCGTGGAGGTTCTGCTTTGCAGGAGCTCAGAGCTGAGCTGGGGCAACGGGGGCAGGGAGCGGGCAGCTAGGCATTCAGCAGGCAAAGAGAGGTAGGAAGGGACTTCAAGTGGAGGAAAACGTGTGAGTGGAGGATGGGGTGGGAGCAGCAGGGAACGCTTATCTTGGGTGGGACAGATTAAGAACATAGTCAAGGT